CTTAACTTAAGTAAATAAAGATGGTGAATTTTAAGCTCGGTAATGAAATGTGAAAAGTGAACTGATCAACATGACATGAGCGTGGGACAAAGAAAAAATATGAGTCCGTGACAGGAATCGAACCCTTGACCTCCCAAACACTGGGCGGGTGCTCTATCCATAGAGCGCCTGCCTGGTTAATAGAGCGCCCACCCGGTGTTTGGGAGGTCATGGGTTCGATTCCTGTCGGGGACTGAGGTTTTTTCTTTGTCCCACGCTCGTGTCATGTTGATCAGTTCACTTTGCGCTCAACGTATTTGTACTCTTGCAACTCTCAGGATCTAGACGATTCTGCAGCTGTACCAGACCAGCTTCTAAAATCCTCTGAAGAGCAAGATCCAGCTACTGGAACTGTAAGTTACACTCTCCAAATTATGTGGAAATTTGTTAGTTACAAAAATCATACAAAAAGTAGCTTGGTGATCTAGTATGGAGCAGTAACAACTAAGCATAAATTTTCTGCTTGACTGCTATGAAAATATTTCTCGGAGATCTATCTGAAAATGTAAGAATTTTGTTCAAAACTGCATCCTTTGTTGATGAACAGACTAGACTAAACCTGACTTAGCGCCCACTTGGCAAACCACCTGAGCCTTAAGACAGATGTGACAGTCCACACTAACCTGATAAGAACTTATTTGTACACTGTAACCAGCCAAGCCTTTCAATCAGTGCTAATGTATTCTATGTTTTCTGTTAGTCTCCACCAGGGTCAAGACCAAGCTCTGCTCAGGCTGGTCAGAACCAGCCTGGCCTTTCAGCAGTCTCGTTCACTAAGCCTACAGCAGTACTACGTGTGCGACCCCCTGCTCCAGTTGGCCCTTGTGCAGCCACTAACTGCTCTGCAGCTTTAAAAGCCACTGATTCAGAGGGAAATGTCATTGGGAGTGGTTCTAATCATGTGTTGATGTCGCAGTTTTTTGACAGCTGCGATAAAACAATCCGTCAGCTTCACAAGAACGAACTGCAGTATCTGAATAAAAATGACGAGGATCTGACAAGGTCACTAGCCACTTCAGACCCTTGAATTCTCCTCACATGATATCATGAAATCTTATTACTGAAGGCATCATGGCATAATGCTACATACATAAATGTACCACTATTACTAATTCTTCCATTATCCTCATTCTTTGAAGTTTCATGCAGTCTTAGATATTACCGGTAGTTACTGTATATTTAATTTGTGCATTCTACTTCTATTAAAGCTTTCCTAAAATACATTTCTTAACACCTGGGAGGTTAGTTCCATCAGGATTAGAGTCTGCACCTGGTGAGTAGAATCAGACTGTCAGGCTGTACTGATCAGGGAGGCAGTAACAATAGCGGCAAGAGCCCTTGGCCTCTCTACCGGGTTTCGTCCTCCTGGTGCATGAATGTCACCTCCATTCTGAAGCCCTATCCATCTCAGACTTGCCTTCAAGCTGGTAATCACTAACATAACAGTGAAATGAAGAGCTTTTACCAAAGGTTTCTATTGGGTAACAGTTGATGTGGGGCAAAGCCTAGAACAAACTATCAAAGTTATAGTCTCATTAGAGCATAGCCCATCAACCAACTGTTCAAATCAGGAAAGAAATAGATTGGTTTTCTTTAGATCAAATTTTCCAGGAAAGCAAACAGTTGAAGCCATCATCAACACTTGACAAGCTTCTGCTGCCAGACATCTATCCACTGTCAGACTACCAAGTGTAGCCAATCCGATTGTGTGTTTAAATCTTGATAAAAGTTGTAGGGTTGTAAAGGATTATTTATTTCGGGATCTAAAAAGTCCTTCCAAAGATTCCGCAAAACTATTAGAAGATCTTACTGGATCGTTCAAGTCCCATTACATATCCCTGAGGATCTTAGCAAGTTTTTCTTAAGAGATCTTAGCAGGGATGCATAAGAAGGATCTTCACGGGGACTGAAGTGAAGGATCTTTACTGAATCCTCTACGATTCTATCTAAGATCTTCGAATAAGATCCTACAGGATCTTGACTAGGATTGTAAAGAACTTTTACGTTTTGCGGTAGTACTGTGCTACCAGCCACCAACAAAACAACAAAGCATCTAGGACGTGGCAAGGTTCTTATAGTAAGCTAGTAAGCTCCCTTCTATTTAAGATACTCCAGCTTCAGGATACTATAGGATCCTTACAAGAATTTTGCCATCAAATTAGGCCAGCACAGGTTGCTCTAAGTAGCATTTTTCAGCTACTCAAGTGTGCAGTGTATGCGCATTAAGGCATTTGTTGTTTTATTCAGCTAAGGTCAACTCCTTGTCAGTATGGTGGTCTGGAGGAACTCAGCTATTTATTTATTCACTTGTCAAGACTGCAAAAGGTATGGAATTGATCAAAACATTTTAACAAAAATGTCAACTTTTTCTAACATCTCAATGTCTTTTTGGCCGTAGTCGAAGAAATTATACATATAAAAGGAAAATATGTAAAATCTAATTCACTACACATGAACTGACATTGTATGCTTTTATCTGATGTAAAATACTCTGCAGTAAAAATGACTTACCTGTACGTGTTGTTCTACTTGCATTTTGAAAATTCTATGAAAATTCTATGACAATGATTTATAAAAGGGTAAACAATTTAAAACCTGCTCACTGCAATTTGTATATAATGTTCTGTATAAAAAATTCTGGATTCAATGATTATACTTTTGGCTTTACTGACTATGCAGGCATGGGAAATATTCTACTGAACCTATGTAATAAAGTTTGGAGCGCAGCAATACTGACAGCGTGTAATAGCACAAATTTTCACTAGAGGCGCTTAATGGTCATGGTCACTAGACCTTGTTGATCACAGCAACTGAAAGAATTGCTTGAAAGTCGAAAGGCAAAATTATAGTTCAGCGCAGGTTTGCTTTGTTTCTTCCTCAGATCTGGAGCATAAGCCAGACATAGTGTGGCCTCACTCGGAGCAGATACTCATTAGCGCAGTTAGTGAGTGTGGGTCATTCATGGCCATGGGTCTGAAAACAGGAACAGTCGTTGTGTGGGATGTCTATAGAGGTGAGTCATGAAGTAACCAAATACTTGTAATAGTCGTGTATTCGATGCAACAGTGCTTCATTTATGGATACGCACCAGAAAATACGCACTTCAATTTATTAATTAAGGTTACTATTTTAGGTAGGCCGCACTTGCCGAATCCCGGGGTAGATAGGTTTGGCTTACGCAATGCTCCCTGCAGATTTCAGAGGTTATGAATTGCTCGTATTTGTAGCATCTGCCTCTGTGATAACTAAGGTGTTTCCGACGCAAACATCATAGATTTCTATTATGGTTTTCTTCTACATGTAGATATTCTTCTGAGGGTCTACCCTGTGACCGATAAAGGACAAATACTTGACCTTTGCTTCTTGTCCAGTGCTGTTGTTCTTGTCAACACAGAAGATAATGGATCATTAACGTCAGTGTCATCATCTCTTGCAAACTTGATCGCGAGTTGTGATGAGGGAACATTTTGTCTTCTGCGATGTGGAGTTGCTCAGTCGGTTACTACAAAACCTCTTGTTGACCGGTAACTTCAAAGGGTTGATTTTGGTAGTTTCAATTTGATGTTGAATAGATCCTTCTGTTTGCGATCGAAAGAAACAATTAAAGGAGGTCATTCCACTCACTTATATTTTAATATTAGCTAGTTCGTAATCTTAATTTATTTAAATTTATATACCTTCATAAGGCTCTTATGATTTCCTTTTTTCTGTTTTTTTTAGTGGCGTACCTGTAAACTAGCTTTTTAGCTAAGCGTACCGACCACGTTCAATAAATTGATTGATTGATCGATTGATTGATTGAAAAAAGTTACTTTTTTTATCTTCACCTATAGCAAGTAAACATTCAGTGAAGTTTCAGCCTCTGAAGTGCCCGCTATCCTGAAGAAATTCATCTCAAGAGAAGAGACTTCGGCGGCCGCCATTTTGAACTGTACTCGGCAGCGAGGCCGTGTTTATTTGACATCATTGCGTCCGACTCGAAATGGGTTGAAAGGGGAAAAACCTGCAACTGATTTTGCATCCTTTACAAGGCCATCAACATTTATTTTTCCAAGTGATTATCCCCCTCACTACCTTCACTGCTATCATTTTGGGAGTTTGGAACATGTTTGGATCAAAATTTTACGGCTCAAGAGCAGCCGTAACCCAGAATGATATTTAAAAGGTTCTTAGGAAGCCATTTGGACAAAATCTCTTGGACGGAATGACATCGCGAAAACGCGGCCTGACTGCTGAGTACTGTTCAAAATGGCGTCAACGATGTCGAATTTTGGACTTCTTTGGAGGCGAATTTCATAAGGAAAATCTGCATTTCAGAGGCTGAAACTTCGGTGAATTGTTAAACTTAGTGCGAGGTTTTTATTTAGCGTTGACAAAAAATATACGTTTTTGGAGTAACCTACTTTCGCTAAAAATGTTCTTCTGTTTCTGGGATCTTGAGTGGAAAGTGAAGAAGAGCTTAAATGATCTGTAACAACAACGTTGGCTATCTGTATTTAACCATTAGCTTTTAGCGCTATTAGTGAAGTGTGTTTTGGCAAGTGTCTCATGAAGGGTCAATGCTGTTTGGACGCCACCAGCGCAACAGATCTGTAAAATTATGCACCATCTCTCCCGTGCTTCCCATTATGCAAGGTGGACCTGACTTCTGCCCAGCAGTTTTCATTAAAATGAACGCTGCTTGACAGAGTGGAATAAAACTCAAAAATTAATAACCTGTAAATTCTGTGATAACACTCCCTAGCTTTCACTGAATGCTATTTAACAATTAGACCCGTAGCCCGCAAGTGCTACGGGTCAATAGCCCATCAGGCGAAGCCGAATGGGCTATTGACCTGTGGCCCTTGAGGGCGAAGAGTCTAATTGTTTTAGTATCACCCAACTAGTCGGACAGAAAAGGCAATAATAAAGTTAGCAAATGCAAGTTGAAGAAATATTT